TTTATTTGACAGAGAGAGACACAGTGAGAGAGGGAACACAAGCAGGGGGAGTGGGAGAGGGAGAAGCAGGCTCCCCGCTGAGCAGGGAGCCCAATGCAGGGCTCGATCCCAGAACCCTGGGATCATGACCTGAGCCGAAGGCAGATGCTTAACGACTGAGCCACCCAGGCGCCCTAAATTTTTTTTATTAATGAGAGATTTATTTTTTTTAGCTAGTCAAAAAATGATACTGGTTTCCATATTAGGTACTAGAGTCTTACAGAGCTGACCATTTAGAGAAACTGTAGATATTATTCTTGTTTGAATTAGATGATTTGTAAAATCCCTCTCAATTCTAAGATTCTCTAGTTTTAAAATTACAGTAAAGTTTGGGCCAACCTTTATCCTTTAAAAAAAATAGAGATTTATTTATTTATTTTAGAGAGAGAGAGACAGAGAGAGAGAGAGAACACGAGCAGGAGGGAGAGAGAATCCCAAGTGAACTCCACGCTAAGCCAGGAGCCCAACGCAGGGCTCAATCTCCCAACGCCAAGATGACCACCTGAGCCAAAACCAAGAGCTGGATGCTCAACCAACTGAGCCATCCAGGCATCCCTGAAGCTTTCTATTAACTACAAGAAAGGGCTTAATTTGAAGTAAATAAACACTATAAAACCCTGGAAGAAGGATGTTTATTTCCTAAAACCAAGTTATTTTGAAGCAGTAAAATAACCTTCAAAAATTATAATTCCAATTGTAATTAATTCTAATTCAGGAATACTTCTTACAGTACGCCTGTAGAAGGAAACTGTCATTAAAGAATTATTATCAATTCCATAATGGACTCATTTCTTTCTTTCCTTTTTTTTTAAAGTAATCTCTATGCCTAACATGGGGCTCAAACTCATGAACCTGAGATCAAGAGTGACCTACTCTCCCAACTGAGCCGGCCAAGTACCCCATAACGGACTCATTTCTAAATTATAAGTCACTTAAATTATTAAACCTTTAATATGACAATACCTTTGCATGCTTCAGTTCTAACTCTGCCAGTTCCACTAAATTTTTCCTGAATGCAGCAACTCTTCTTGTCTTAAAATCTATAAGTTCTGTGAACAAAAGAAATTAGGATTAACTATTTAATTTATATATTATAAAGTATACCTTATGATTAAAGGGTAAGGTAACAGTACCTTGTTTTGCAGACTCAGATATTTTTTCAAATTTCTGACAACATAATTGTTGGGATGTTTCAGCCTGCAGAACATCTTTATTTTTCGCTCTTGCTTTATCCAGTGCTTTATTAGCATTTTCATAATCCACTAGTGACCTAGATCTTCGATAGAGGAGATCCTATAAAAGAGAATGCTTCACAATAACATACGCTGCACGTTTCTAATAGTTACCCGCAACCACCACTAGCCCATCACCCCCATCATCATTAGAGTGAACACTTAAACCATGAATACCACACATGCCAGCTACTTTCTAAATGGTTTTTGTAACAGCTTTACTGAGATGAATTCACATACGTATAACTCATTCAAAGTGCACAATTCAACGGTTTTTAGTGTGCTCGCACAATTGTATAACCATCACTACAATCAATTTTAAAACAATTTTGTCACCCAAAAGGAAACCCCATATTCATCAGCAGTCATTCTTCATGTCCTCTCACCCGCCCCCTCCCCCCCCACACCTGCTTTCTGTCTCAACAGATTTGCTATTCTGGACATTTCATTAAAAAAAAAAAAAAAATGGAGGGGTGCCTGGGGAGCTCAGTTGGTTAAGCGACTGCCTTCGGCTCAGGTCATGATCCTGGAGTCCCGGGATCGAGTCCCGCATCGGGCTCCCTGCTCGGCGGGGAGTCT